AAGATTGGATTTTTGTTTCTGATCAGCCGATCACCAACTAGCATACTCTAGAAATCCTTACATTTGCAATAAATTGCCTTTCTTAAGAACCCTTCTGTTGAAATGTAGCTAAAAATAAGCACTATTTGTGGTTTTCTTTTAATAAGTTAGTCAAGAACCTGTGACATCTGTGTAATAAAATGTGTTGTTTATTACGGGAATATTAGTCACGAATGATTAACCGGGCTCAAGTATTGAATGTTGCAACCAAGGCTTATTATCAAAATGGGGGAAGTTCCAGTCCACTGGGTTTGGTGAGTTTTGGCTTACCACTGGAACAAAATCAGGTGTCAGCTGGATGACTCTTTCCTCCCTTATTTACAAGCAACTGTAGATGTAACGTCTAACTGGTCTTCAGCAGCCTGTTTTGACACTCACTATGATTCATCAGATCGACTCGGTTCATGTGGCAGTCATGTGACCCTCGCAGACAATCGGCAGGGAAGCAAACGCATGAGGAAAAAAAAAAGAAAAAGAAAGAGGAAGGGGGTATAATTGTTGCAGCCATAGGCAACTTTAAATAAGTTGCACGCACACACACACACACACACACTAACTAAGGCTGGCACGTGCTGAGAGCTCATTTTGCAAGTGGCCTATAAATTATGAATGACACTGTGCTATATTTTCTCCAGCCAGCCTGAGGACATGTATGAAGTGGAGCAGCAATAGTACATTGTTTCTCATTTTGTGCATTCAGGAGAGAACCTGTAGGTATGCATTATGTGTCAATGTCAATACACACACACACACACACACAAACGCACACGTTTACAGCATACTCTAGGCAATATTCTTTCCTTTTGTTTGTTTTATTCTGACCCGGTCCAACTGTTTTGTGTGTGTGTGTGTGTGTTACCAGCAAAGCAAAGTGCACCTGAAGTCTGCAGGGAATTCCTGTCAAAAAGTGTGCATGCCGCTCTGAGACTTGATTCAAACACACACGCACACTCGCAGAGAGGCGAAGGAAGTGAGGGGAACGAAACGTAGTCAACCTGTGTCAGATGAAGCCCTCATGGCAAGACGAACAGATTGCAGAAGCTTGATTTCTGCCAGCGCTCCTTGACCGGCTTTTTACGTTTCGTGCCCACTCTTTCTCGTCAGGACGCTCGCACGATAGCCCCCCTGCTCCCCTCCACTCCCCCCCGGTCCGCTTTATGTAGGAGTGTTTTTTTTTTTTTTTTTTTTTTGCACACTGCGTGAATGTGTGCGCAGGTTCCTGCTTCTGAGAGTGTGAACGAGCGAGACGGCGAGAGGATGTGCTTGAGACAGAGAGTGAGAGAATGAGTTTGTCAATGTGTGCATGTGAGGAAAAGTGCATAGGGGTTGGCGTTTACAGCGCACAACAACAAGGCAGAGGTGTGGGGGTTGGGTAAAAGAACAGGAAAAGGAAGAAGAGAGGGGAAAAATGCACAAGACTCCTCGTTCAGAAACAGCTGACAGGTTTGACAGGCCTGCCGAGAGCCACAGAGACAAACATGCAGAGAGGGAGGAAGATGTGGGGAGATGGTGGGGGACAGAGTAAAAGCCCAGAGATGATCTGCTTAAAAAGGATAAAACAGACAAACATTCAACCTGCTGTGTAGATAAGTTTTCCTTTAGCATTCAAAACGTTGTTTGAAAATACAATTTCCACCCTCCCTCTGGCCATAATTCTACAGTTTCCTCTTTGTGGAAGCAAACAGAGAGCGGCTTGTGATGCCAGCAGACAAGCCATGAATGTGAAGTATAAAAAAAAAAAAAAAATGGAGCAGGATGATGAAAAAACTTGCTGAATAAGAAAGAGGCATGTGATAACATAAAAAAAAGAAAAAAAAAAGCTTTTAACTGGGCAAGAGTTGTTCTGGAGAGTGTTATGCAATATCCTCTATTCGGTTTTGCATTTATTCAAAATGCAGTTGTAAACAATCGTGTGATTTTGTATGGGTGACTGAACCCTCTCGCTTTTGCCTCCAGTGAAACATCCTCAGTTCTGTCACTATTAATGCTTTCAAATGGAGTTTGTCCTGGAGTAAAAAAAAAAAAAAAAGAAAAAAAGAAAGCATCAACAAAGCCTGGATACACAACCGTCTCTGAACAAAATTCACAAAACGAGACAGGACTACACAGCTGAGTGCCCGGAGACGGATCTCGGCAAGTTGAGATGGATCAGAGTTACTTTAGATGGAGCAGAGAGAGGAGGTTATTTCTTTCTACTGGTTCACCACTTCACTAAAAACACGCATGCTAGAGGGTCCGTGTGCTAGCTTTCATTAAGGTTTAGCCAGCTGTAGCTTTTGTTAGCTTATAGTGAGGGAAGTCCTGATAGTAATCCAAATATTAGCTGTGGGTGAGTAATTAGTTATCGAATGAGCGACACTGGGGCAGCTGATCACACCTGTTGTTGCTAAGCTGTCTCTGCGACACTTTAGCTCTTTTGAAGCCCAAAACATTTCTGAATCCAGCTAGTTTCAGTATAGACAGAAGTATTGAAGCTTAAAAGGGCGGGTGGGAGGGGACCCCAAAGTGGTTTCCTTTGTCTGCTCCAGGTTAGGTTCACGTCGTTACCAATTTGACAAAATGTTCTCCAGCTGTTGCGAGTGCCTGAATGAACAGGCGAAAAATCCAACTTCCTGTAAAGTAGCTGCTTATACATATCAAATTTAATTAAGTTAACACATCTCTGATGCAAAGTGATTTCCAGTATTTCTTCACTCTGAAACCACTTCAACACCGAAGAGCATTCAGGTTTGCATGCTGTTAGTTCTTATGATGCATTCAGTGATCTGAAAAAGATGGTATCTTTCAGCTCCCGAATGGGTATTCAAGCAGAAAACCTGCCTGTTTCAGTCCCCATCCAATGTGTTTATACATCTATGCTTTCTGAACATAGTTTGTACTTTACAAGTTGTTTCTGTTAGATTTGATATCTACAAATACCTTTGCGTAAACGACCAATATTGAGGACAATAATATCCCCACACTTTCTTGAAATAAAAACAATGTCCACAGTGCTCCGTTCATGATTTTACCAAAGACTTAGGGGTCTGGAAGTCCAAAGCCTTTGGGTGGATGGTCACTATTACTTGTTGCCTGTCCATTCAGTCACTATTACTTGATTTAAATCAAGTGCAAATTGGATCTTCCATAACTTACGAATCCTAAGTTAGGATTTAAAAGTAGTTAAGCCAACAAACCGTTGAGCAGCATGTGAGACGTTGTAGCTGACGTTACAAAAACAGCCACTGTAAACCGATCTAGAAATTGAGAGTATGACCTTTGTCACTGAATATTTTATTTTTACTTATTTGCAATAGGCACATTTAAAATGTTGAGTCATTTACTTACCTTTAAATCCCTCGGACATTGAATTCTTTCACAGCTTTATTCAGTTTGACAGCACTGGGCATGAAATTTATGGCATTGCAATGTGTTATACCAAACGTGCCAAGAACACTTAAGAAATTGTGGACTATAAACAATGAAGTTTGCTGTTTACCTCTCAAGTCCATGGCAACATGACTACTTTAAGACTTTGGCAATGCCCGGGATGCAAGAGTCTAAGGGGTTTAAAGGGTCCAGAGACTTTCTGGGCCCCTCAAACATATTCACTGTTGGAATGAAAAGAGTGTTGGCAGGAGGAACTTGTCCTGGAGTCTGTCAGGAGTGAAAGAGGGCTATGTAGATAAAGCAGGAAGCAATAGAGAGACATAGATGGACATCAGCTGGTTGGTAAACCACAGCCAGAGAAGTGGAGGGAGAGGAAAGAAAGGGAGAGGGTAGATGCCAGCTATTGTAGGAATGCCGTAGCAACATGCAGTGGAGAAGCAGGGGGGAGGTGTGTGTGTGTGTGTGTGTGTTTAAATTTGCAGGGGTCAGTGGGTTTCGCGCTCTATCCGAAGTTCTTCCAATTCTGTGTTGGCAACTTGGTGTCTACGGACTTGAATTATTAGCTAGTGTGGATGCTAGCCTGAGACAACTCGGCACTGCATTCCTAAACAGCAAACACTTGGAGAGTGGGAAGTGCAGGAACCTGCTGCTGGGTGAAAGAAAAACTGTGAAAGGAGGCCAACCTGTGGGCTTCCATCTTAGGAAGGCCCAGGATGTTATTACAGGTTGGCAGGAAAAGGTGTCCCTGTAATTTTAGCTCTTCCTTAAACAAACGAAATGGACAAACTCAGATTTGGGCTTTTGTCAGAGTCACAATAAAACCAGGTCAGGTAAGCTGATAAAAAAATTAGATAACTGAATTATGATGAGAAGAGGTGGAACTGAGTTACGCAGAGGCTGAATCTGACACCTTGGTGTTTTCCCATTGATTTCCAGACTATTTGGGTTCCTGGAAGATACTTGGGAAACTCGTGTTGATTAAAAGTATATTGATAACTTGAAATTAGCTGCCGCTGTAGCGAAGATTCTGTTTCCTGTGATTATTGTTGAGTTTGTTAGCATGGTAACATTTTTTTTTTTTAGCTGGTACTGAAAACGTGAGCAGGATGAATGACTGTAATTTTTCTCAAAATTTCACAGTAAAATATTTGAAAGGTATTCTGTTGATATTGACAGGACTACAAAACTAATAAAAGGCCATCTTTGCATTAGTATTCTTCAAACTATATTCTCTCCTTATGGTATATCACGTTCTGAAGGAAACGGTGAGCTACTGCCCCCCGTAGAATATAATTCAAAAAAAGAGAAAGCAACTTTTTTTTTATATATATATATATATATATATATATATATATATATATATATATATATATATATATATATATATATACTATATATATGTACTATATATATATATATATATGTATAGTACAGCGCCTATGTACTTTTTGCCATAGGCAAAAAGTACATAGGCGCTGTACTTTTTGCCATTTGTTTTTGTTTAACTAAACAACTTTCTCAAACACTAAGAGTTTGCTTTACCGAACCTTCAAAATCATAATCCTTCCACTGTGTTTCCTTTGCATTTGCAGGATCCTTCAGGCATCTTTGACCTGGTTGAGCTGGTAGGAAATGGCACCTACGGCCAGGTGTACAAGGTAAGATGTCGAGCCCATCTTTTTTTTCTTTTTCTTTTTTTTTTTTTTTTTTACCAGACTTTTCCATTTTATCAGCTTTTATGCATTCTGCTGGAATAAAAAGCAGAAATGTGACTGGAGGAAATGGCGTACAGGAAAAAAAAACAGAGAAATCGAGCTTGTGTAAATAAGTCGAGGACATTTTTATTTTATTTTTTTAGGAAATGTTGTTCGTTTTACACACCCGTCTCTTTCTACATCGTGGCAGTATCTTTCTAACATTCACACGTCTAAGCGAGGTCTTTGAAAAGAGAAAGAGGTAAAAGAGAAGCACATGCGTATGTTGCTTTGCACTTGTGACATCAATGTGGTTTGAGTAACGTTGTTGTCAGATGGACTCAGGGACTCAGCTGTTTTCCGCTGTTGCAGAAATCTTACTGTCTATGTTACTGTCTGAAGTTCCTCTTCCTGCCCTCACCCCCATCGCAGGCCTGTCAGTCTCACTGCCTTTTTCTGCTTCACCGCAGGAGGTGGCACCAGCCCCCTTCGTAATAAACGTGCTCTTTTAACCTGGGGGGGGGGGGCGCCACTGATACAGGTGTGCCCCCTGTGAGTGCATGCATGCAAGTGTGCATATGCATGAAGCTGTGGCTAACAGACCAGAGAGTCAAGGTCAGGCGGTGATGGAAAGGAGCTGTTGTTACAGATGACTGGACTGAATGTAAGGTCAGACAGGGGTCAGACATTCATCTTCACACTTCTGGAAATAATCCGACGCCCTCTCATGTGCATGTAGGTCTGCGATGTACAGGATGTAGAGCAAAAACACAGAGAGAGCATGTGGAAAAAAAAAAAAAGAGAAAAGTGTAACCACTTATGTCTGATATGCTTTCTGGCTGAAAGCTTATTTATCAGTCCCTCACACTGAATCACAGACTCTTCTAGTTGCCTTTTGGGGTTTAGGGTCATAGTCGGATCCACACCTCTGGATGACTGAATGGTACACAATGTACAAGGCTGTGGAGAAAGCTGTGGGCTTGCGGTTACTAAGCTAAAAAAAAAAAAAAATCATCCTCATTTGGTGTTATAAAAATAGCTAACATTTCTTAATAGCAAGAAATGTTTTACATCTCAGTTGAATTAATAAGACAGAATAGAAGGAAACTTTGTTTAATGTAAGAAATGTAAGAAAATCTCGGTTTGGAAAGCTCAGGAGTTGAAGTATTGCCACGTGTTGATCTTGGGTGCAAATTGTTGGCCAAATTGATATGAAGGCCGGAGTTAATTAAGCAGTGTGCCCATGGATGTACAGCTCTTTGCAAAAGTATTCATCATTCTTGATCAGTTCACCGTTTTGTGACAGTGCAACCACAAATGTACTTTATTGGAGTTTTATGTGATGAAGCAACACAGAGTAGAGTGTAATCGAGAACTTGAAGGGAAACCATACAGCCAATCAGCAGTAAGGAAAATGAGTGGCGCTCCTGGATTGGCTGCTTTGCAACTGCCAGCCAATAGCTCATCTAGTAACATTACGTTCAGGTACTTGAGCTTTGCAAGCTGCTTTTTCTTTACAAAAAATCACAATTAGGCAGATTTTCTGTGAATAATGAGCTAAGTTCAATGGAAAAATTTGCGAATAGGTGAATTTGTGAAGAGTGAACCTTGAATAGTTGACCCCAGTGAAACACATTTAAGTTTGCAGAAACTAAATAACAGATATGACTGGTTTTGCAAGTCCCTTTGTATCACTTCATGGCAAAATGTGATGTGTGAATGACTTGGAGGTGTTGTGCTCTGATATGTCTGTGCATATGGGGCATTTTGATATTTTCTACTATATTTTCAACTTTATGCATGATTTCTTTCCTATCACGCTACACATTGTTGCAATATTCATGAAAAGCCTAATAAAACATCATTTTTTTGAGCATTAACTGCAGTTGTATTTATTTAAGTATACTGACATTTTAATCAGATGATTTATTTATTTTTTTGCTACCTTCCACCATATTGACATTTAAATTAGCCTGCAGAATATGATTAAAAGGTAAGACTCGACCCCCAAGAGGCTGGCATTTTTGACATTTAATTTAAACTCACAGAAAATTAAATCAAGGTGCAGTTTTTATTTTTTATTTTTTAGAAGAATCCCTCTGCAGAATTAGGTTTGTGTCAGATACGTGGGGTCACCCAGCCACGCTTTCCTTTTGTCCTTACATATTTCTCTAATGGTCAGCAATGCGTTTCATCTTTCTGGTGATATTCCGTCTGCAGTGTGCAGTCTCGCTGCACCTCTGTGTGCCTGGGAGAGAGAGATAACAGTTTTATCAACCTGTCCATTCCTCTGTCTCGTTAAATGATGCACATCGGCTCCTCGGAGCTCTTTATTTGCTATGTTATGTTTGCACGTAGAATTTCGTCAACAAACAAACAAAAAAAAAAAACTAAAAATGTCTTGGAAAGTTGTTTTTGTTACATATTCTCCCCGTCAGTAAACATATTTGTAACGGGGTTGGTGATAGGTGAGAAGCTGCAGTGAAAAGATCAGCTTAGCTCCCCTCTCTCTCTCTCTCTCCCCCTCCCTCCCTCCATGTTAGTCATGTTTCCTTCCTCTCCCTCCTGCTCATCCATATCAGTTTTCATTATTCTTATTATTGTGGAGGCTCATTGTTTTGTCTCATTTCCTTCCTTTGGGCTTAAGGTGAGCAGGATGAGCCTATGTATGTGTGTGTATGTATATATGTCTTCCGCTGGCTGCCTTAAAAGGACCATAAATAGAGAACATGGGTATTGCTGAATAATTAAACACTTTATCTCTCCACTTTGCTTCCTCCCCATCTACTGCTATCAGTTCCTTCCTTTAGCCTTTTCTCTGTTGTCACTCTTGTCACTTGCCTTTCCATGGCTCCCTTATCAGTATTTCCTCTTTTCATTTTGCAACATCCGTCCTTTTCCTGCTCTGGGTTTAGTTAGATTCTCTTACTTGTGCTTTAGTTCTATTTTTCTGAAGGCTCTGAATATTTAATGGGGCTCGAGGGTAATGGGCATCTCCAAAGTGAGAAACCTGCTCAGAAGACTTCATAATGAATGAATGAGGGAAAGAGACATCATTCCTGGCCTGGATTTTGGAGCACACACTGACTAGATATTTAAATGTCCGGTTAAAGAGACTGGTTTATTTCAAAACTGCTAATTGCAAAAATGCTATGTATCATTTTAGAAGGTTTTGTTTTCTTCAGATTCAGTGACCATTTCAGAGGACCTTGTTGGGAATGTCCTTTTTGTTTTTGACACTGATCCAGGTCATTTAATAGAAGGGATTTGCCACTTTCAGTTCCCAGTCCAATATTTTACCAAAATCAATGCAAAATATACACATATATGCTGAAAGTGTCCTGTTTGTCTCTGTGTGTTACCCTGCGATGGACTGGTGGTCTGACCAGGGTGAGAGCTGGTCATCGTTTGTGTTTACGTTGTCTTCACATGCTAGCGCACCGTGAACGACCTTTGCGGTCTCTGTAGAGGAAAGATGCAGCACAACACAGTGACAAGAGTTTATCTCCATGATGACACAACACACTGACAGAGCTCCTCCTCACACAAAGTGCTGCACACACACTTTAAATATTCACCATTCAGACCAAAAGACACACACACACCTGCTAGTATGGTTTCCATTTATTTCACTAATGTTGCCTCTGTACATATTGTAGATGTGTTACTAGAGAATAGCAATAGTTTGATTTTTCTTTCCTTTTGCCATCTCAGTGGCCATTTTTACTTTTTTTAAATGGACTGTGGTAGTCCCGCTGTGTTTCTCCTATTCCCTTAGTCCCTATTTTGCACTCAAAAAACCACTTCAAAGCTGTTTTTTTTTTTTTAATCTCCTTTATCTGCTGGAAATCATTCTACAAAGTACCATGGGCTATTTTTTTTCTCTTTGTGTGCCTGCCAAATCCTTCTCCTTCTCACAGTAACACACACGATACATGCACGGTGTAGGGGACCATGGAGAGACTGGTTGGTCCTAAAATAGGAACAGAGCAATCAACAGCGCCTGTGAAACCAAGGTATACCTTGATACCAGTAGCAGCCACAAGCTATACTAATGTTTCCCATTTGCCCTTCAGACTGACTGTCTTCATGTTATAGAGATTTTCTTGCTCCAACGAACTTGATTCAAAGAACTGAATTAATTTTTTAGTATAATATGAAGTTCTTCTGGAAACTCCTCAGTTCTAAAACATGCGTGTCTGCGCAGGATAAAATAATCCTCGCATCACAATTATTAAGTTTTACTAATTAATAAAATGCAATATTTTCATTGGAACTGGAATACTGACATTTTAAGTAGCGACTTCGGTCATGAATGTGCATAATTTATGGTAATTACATTGCTCTTGAAATCCCTTCTTAACCTAAGTGATGGTCTACTTGAAATAAGAGCCAGCTAATATTATACAAACCTGAGGTAGTGTCATAAAAGGTCAGCATGCAAATAAATGATGGATGCATTGCTCTTAAAGGTAATAAAATTACTCTTAGAGAGTCTCAGCTGTGTAGGCTACAGGGTTATGATATGCTCTCATGTAAATACACAGTAATTCTTTACGTTTCCTTGTTTGCAGTGCAGTTGCTCGCTCGCAGAGGTTTGCGTTGTGAATCCGTCATTGCTTCGCTCTCACCGTTTGCCTTCAGACACGCAAGAGTTCAATCTCTGGAGTCCTCACGGATGAAATGTGAACCCCGACCGAGGTGGATGTTGCTCATTACGGTGGAAACAGCAGATGGGCTTGTTCTGTTCATGGATGTATAGACACACTCACACCTGGCTGTGCGTTCATTAACCCACATCCGTGCTGCGTGTTCCCCAAGGCCACGCCGCCCCACTTACCCAGATGCCTCCCACCCAGACCGGAGTCAATTAGCCATGCCTTGAACCAATAACGATCTTTGTTTTTGTTTTTTTTCTTCCAATTTTCCATGATGCATTGTGAATTGAACTCCATCACAACATC